CATATACAATCATATCCACAAAAACTCATTTTACTATCATGTTTAATTAATTAGATTTGACTTTAACAGGGGAATATGGAAGAAGATGTGGTAAATGGTGTGACAGGGCGTATGTTGTGAGAGTAGCAGATCATGAATGAGAGATTGAAGGAAGAGGTGTTACAGGTGGGGTCGTGAGAGTAACAAATGAAGAAGATGAATGTAGGGTTAAATAAGTAATAAGACATGAATGTAGGGTTAAATAAGTAATAAGACAGTAAATTCTTTAATTTTTTGAAAAACCTTGTTTGATGTATTTTATTGGATATTTTAGGATACTAATATGATACATGTTATCATTTAAATGAGTAGAAGGAATGATAGAAACAAAAGGTAGAAGGATATTTAATTTCTGTAAAAAATTTAATGTTTTTGCAACCAAACGTGGAAATTTGTCGGAATTCAATTCCAATTCTTACCAAATCTTATAAATGTGACATCCTCAAATTCACAGTCAGAAAAGACCGGTTTAATTTATGCTTTTAAAATAATTTCAGAATAATCATTTGATTAAAAGAGTTGCGAAATTTGTTCTCAAACAAAATATGATAAAATAATATTTACCAAAGCATTTCATAAAGAAATGTATTTTCATTATATAAGCAAAACTCAAGATGTCATATCACTACAAGAAAAATCATGAATAGCTACGGAAAAATTTTACATAATCAAAATCCGTAGCAATTTTAATACGGAATATGTTACGGAATGGCTTGTTGTAGCTATAATGCTATGGAAACGGTTACGAAATTGCATTCCATAGCTAAATCCTAAATAGCTACGTAAAGCTTCTATGAAATTAAGATTTGTAGCTATTCTACTATGGAATATGATACAAAATGCTTGGTCGTAGGTACTTTGCTACGAAAATGGCTACGAAATTGCATTACGTAGCTGAATCATGAATAGTTGTTACGAAATCGAAACCCGTAGCTATTTTACTATAAAATATGTTACATAATTTTTGGTTGTAGATAGTTTGTTATGAAACTTGTTATAGAATTCATATCCGTAGATACTTGGCTAGAAAGTTCGCTACATAATCAAAATTTGTAGCTAGTTAGCTACAAAATTGAAATTGGTAGTTATATTGCTATGAAAATTTGCTACACAATAAAATTGTGTAGTTAATCTACCATGAAACTTGTGACGAAAATGCTAATCATAGTAATTTGTGTATACGACTGGTTTCGGAATTTGCAAAATAACTACGAAAACCAAATCCGTGGCTATTTCTCTACAAATTATTTCGTAGTTAAATAGCTACTTGATATCTCTCCCCTAGCAAAATATAGAAAATTATTTTAAAAGGAAACTAATAAGAATCTTAAAACAAAAGAAGAAAATGATATCATCGTAACTTAAAAAGTTATGATTTTTTCTTCATTGACATAAATAAAAACTATATATATATATATATATATATATTGTGAAATCCCCATTTTCACAGTAAAAAAAAGACCGCTTTTATTTATGTTTTATAAAAATCAGAGTACCTCTTTTAATAAAAATGTTGAGGAATTTGTTCCCAGTAAAACATGATAAATACGTTATCAAAGCATTTCCGAAAAAAAAAATATTTTTAATTCGTTTTAAAACATTTGGGATGTCATCGTCAATACAAAAACATAAGCATAAACATAACTTACATTTATTTACACTAGCGATTTACATCTCTTTAATCTCTCAGTGTAATGTGATTTCATCTCAACACCTATAATATAAATAAACTGAGTGGGTCAGGTTGGAAAACCTGGTGAGTACATAGGGTTTTCAACCCACAATAATATAATTATTATGTTTAAACAATCAAACAATCGACCCAATTACCCATCCTCATTATCTTCTTTACTCTTAAGGATCTATCCTAAGAGTCATCTATCCCATATTTGTTCATTATGAAGTTCTTTGCTTCCAGAGTTATAGAACTGACACTAAATCCATAGTTGTCAATGCTCATTCGTTAAACACTAATTCTATAGCTTCTTGGTACTAAATCCATAACTACCAGTGTTTATCTAATAGGTACTAAGTCCATAGCTACCAATTCCTAACAGGTACTAAGTCCATAGCTACCAATGTTTGTCCAATAGGCACTAAGTCCATAGCTACCGATGTTATTTGTTAGGCACTAAGTCTATAGCAGTCAGTGTTTACTCACATCATCTTTTATCTCTCATCATTCATCTAACCATCTCATACCCAACATACTTGTATATTTAAAATACGTATACAGTTCAAATCATTTAAAACATGTATAAAAAAAGTTCATCCAGCATAGACAGCAAGTATTCAGATAATATGCACACATAGCACGTAGTTTATATAAAATATTTCATATCTATGTGTAAGATGAAAGTAATTATGCACTCACCTAAGAAGGTGGTGACTCGGTACTCGGACAGCGCTTCGTTTACTTTAAAATAATTTCCTTCGACGAAACCTAGTATTATTACCACTAGATTTTAGTCTAATATTTACCGTGACTAATTATTAGTATTATTATTATTATTATATAGGCGTTTAAATAATAGTTTCCAACCACTATGTACAAACAGGGGCTAAACATAAAACACCGGAGGGCATGACCATTTTGGCGTATAGCACTTCTGAAATCCTACAACCTTATGCGGCCCTTTAAACCAGATTCCCCGTACCGTGAGTAGTTAAAAAGATATTTTAACGACACTTATATAAGTCATAATAATAGCTCAAATACTAATTTTAAATGTAAACTACATTTAAAATAGGGTAAGCATAACTTACTTACAAGGGGATTTTAGCTAGGAGTCGGGCTCTGCAGAGGCAAAACTTCGTCGCTGAATCTTTCTAAGAAAGATTCATGCATCGCTTTAGCGCTCACCTTATTATACTAAAACTACAGAAAGAGAAGTCGAATCACGAGGGACCGAAATGTCCGGGGGATAAGGAGAGAAAGACTCTTGAATAAAGAGAATGGTGCAAGAAATATGAGAGCCCAAGGCTCTTATTTATACTAATTAAATTTTCAAAAATTGTCCTCCATAATTACTTAATGACATTTTAGTTATATAAACAACTAAACACCCTTTATAATACTATTTTAAATAGATTTAATGATATTTGTACTAAACTAATATTGAAAGAACTCAATATTAGTCTTATAATGACCGCATCGTTGATACATTTTTAATGATATATACATATGTATATATATGTGTACGTATATATGATTTATAATTTATTTTAATACGTAAATATGTTATTATAATTTGTAACTTGTTCATACGAACTCCGTTTTTGATATTATTTATATCCACGCGTAGGTGAAGACGTACTCTACAACTTTCGTTTAGACTCCGTCGGCTAATTTTGACTTTATTTTTAAAGTTATATTTTTAACAGGCCGGGACAAGATTGGTCCGTTAAAATATCATAACTTCTTCATCCGATGTCCATTTTCGTCTGTATTTTTATAGTTACGCTACTAATAATGAGATCTTCGATTCTCGTTCAGGTTGTGTCAGCTAAAAACCGCTCGATCTAATATTCGAATTTCGGGCTGTACACTGCTAATCTGAAACTTCGAAAAATCATAACTTCCTCATACGAAGTCAGATTTGGGTGTTCTTTTTATGGAAGCTTTCGGTTTAACATATTCTATGACTTTCGTTTAGATTGCTAAGGCTAAATCTCGCTCTATCGTAAATTCACTATTTACGTTTCCCGGTATCGTACCGGTTCCGTCGCGAAACTTCGATGGATCATAACTTCTTCGTTATAACTCGGATTTTGACGGTCTTTATATATACGAAAACCTAGTAACATATACTAAAACTTGGTTAAGATTATTTATTCTAAATAATATTTTGCTGAAATGTCCTTTTCGACACTTATTGCCTCTAAATTGACTAGCCCGGATCTGCGGGCGTTACATATATTACGTCTCATTATTTATTTTTACCTAAGGTACTTTTCCCCAAATCATCGCAGTAACCCCTGTTCTATGTTCCCTCGTTTTGTCTCCTTGACTTCGGTGGAAGCAGCATAATTTTCCCCAAATCATATCATACGTATCACATTTGGAAGTAGCATAAGACGATCGTGTATGAAAAGGAGTATCTATGGCTTCGGTGGCGAAGTTGATCCGTCTCAGACATCTGCAGTGTAATTAAGGAAACGACGACATGTGATTGTGTAGCGAGGTTGTTGATCTCAAATGAGAAACGGTGTTGATCAAATGACGGAGGGAAGGGACGTCCGTGAGATCCAGTCTAGCAACCATTCAATTCTCACCTCCCTCAACCTAAAAGCATACTCTCTCTCTATCTATCTATCTCTCTCTCTCTCTCTCCAATTGTAGTCCAATAAGCCAATTGAATTAGGTTTTTACATCGAATTGGTGTTAAAATTGTTAAAAAATCGATTTTTTATTCAAAGCACATTGAATAGGAGTTGGAGTCTTCCTACTAAGTTGTCATTATAACGATATAATGTGTAATTTCTTCGGAATTGGGATCGTAATCGACTAGTTCTGTTATTTTGATCTTACATGAGGTCGCAAGGAACTTTAATTCTGAATTGGTAGATTTGTAATAAAATTCTGAATTTGTAGATTTGCAATAAAATAATTTGTATGTAGCCTCTTCCAAATTATGAAGAACACTGTATTACAAAAATATATCTTTAGGAACTAGAAAATAGATCTTATATTATTATTCACAGCGAGCTTTATCAATCATATTTCCTTAATATGACCTTTTGTGTAGCATTGTCATTACTTTCCGTGTGTTATTGATTGAAGTAGCATTACTTGTAGCACCTTGTTTAACTCAATTGTCTTTCAGTTGGACATATTAGGATGAAATGTTGATGTATATGTTAGTTTGTAAGAAAACTCATTGGAGATATAGTTGGAGCCTAGAGGAAGGAAGACTTAAATTCTTGATCATAAAGAACTTACACATTACAACCTACGAATAATGCCTTGTAATATTCATAGGCCAACCCAAGTAATGCCTTGGACAACCTTCGATTACTCAGTGTTACTGATCAATAACTTTTGGAGGATGCTTATGAAATGATATGCACATTAAAATGATCAAGAGATTAGAATAATAACCATACAGTAAGCTAAGAATCTTAATTGAAAGTTTAAATGAAAATTTGCTAATTTCCATACATTAGATGTTTTTATTAACATATATAAATATTTTATTATGAGAATGATAAATAATATACTTGCACTAAAGGTTGTATTTGACAGAATAGCAAAGATGGTGGTTTAGACAACAATTTGATTGGTCAATTTGGTGTGGGAGTTTATTATGTCTTCCAAGTTGTTGATAAGGTGTGTCGTTTTTCAACCCTTTGATACTTCTTTTTATAAAATACCATGAATTATTCATGGAGTTTTTTTAATCATTTTTGTCCTGATTGTTTTATATAATAATAATAGGTGATCTTGTTAACAAGAACTCCAAACTCTAATAAGCAAATTTGTTTGGGAAGGAGAAGCGAATTATAGCTCTTATATTATCTAAGAGGAGATAGATCTTGAGAAGTTTATTCCTTGAGGATCTTGCATCACATTACATCTCAAGGTATATTTTTTTTAGTGTGATCTTAATTGCAGGGTGGATACAGAGGATTTTACTCCTGAAATACAATACCATTAACACCTAAAGTTGCTAATTTCATTCATAAACAAGGTGGCACCATAACCGGGACATCACGAGGTGGCTATGATAACAAAAAGATAGTCAGTAGTGTTGAAGGTCCCAAAATTAATCAGGTTATTATAAAACAACCAAAAACAAGTAATTTTACTAGTTTTGTCACATATATATGATATAACCTTGATGTTATTTTTAATGAAGAAAAGTATAAACTTTTTGTATTTATACAGGAACTTAGAAGACGAGGTCTTAAAGTTGTGGTTATCGGGATAACAAAAACTATCGATTATGACATTCCGGTACTTTATATTGAAGTATTGTCGATTTTAGTCCTTATGTCATATTATTAAAATAAAATTCATTACTTTGATCTTGTTTTTATAGATTATTGATAAATCATTTGGATTTGATAATGTTGTTGAGGAGGCTCAACGCGCGATTAACGCAACAAATTCTGAAGAAGAGACCAACGAGAATTGTATAGGACTTGTTAAGTTAATGGGACGTAATAATGGTAAGTTTTGTAAAACAAGATTAAATAAAACTTAGTGTTTGTGGTTTAAGTTTTAAAATATTTATGAAGGGTTTATTTTTATTGCACTGTATGTAGCTCTTGCAAGCCTAGATGTTGATTATTGTTTGATCCCTGAGTGCCTGGGTCACCTTTCTATCGTGAAGGGCATGGTGGTCTTTTTAAACATATAGAAAAAAGAATAAAAGAAAACAGGCATGTGGTAATTGTTGTAGCAAAAGGTGCAGGACAATAATTTGTCGCTGAGAGCTTAAGAGCCACCAACAACAAGGATACCTACGCGAACAAGGTTTTAGTTGACACTGGTTTATGATACCTAAGTTTTGTGACAATTGGAAACTTTTTTTAATGAATGATAGAATATTATGTATCAAATAACATTTTATGTTTAATTTATAGCCTTTAGATGTGTTGGATATTTATTTTAGTTTCTATATAGAAATACCACTTTTGGTTTTATATTAATTGTATTTTTAGAAACTGATATAAGTAGTCGAATTCAAATACCGAATTTTATAAAATAATGGTACAAAACATTTGCTACGAAATTTGTTATGGAAAATTTTCTACGGAATTGGCTACAGAACAATTGCTATGGAATTAGCTACAAAACAACTGCTACGGAATTTGCTATGGAAAAAGTTGTTACGAAATTTGCTACGGAAAGATTACTACGGAATTTACTACGGAAAAATCGTTACGGAATTGGCTATGGAAAAATCGCTACGGTATTGGCTATGGAATATGCTACGGAAACATTGCTATGGAATTTGTTACGCAAAAATTGATATGGAATTTGCTATGGAAAATTGCTACAAAATTTACTATGAAAATGCTATGGAACTCAAATTGAACGAATGTATGTCGTAGAAACTATTATAGCAAAATTGCTACGGAATTCCAATTCTGTAGCTAAACAGTTTGCTACATGAAATAAAGCTACAAAGTCTAATTGAAAATTTTCGTAGCAAATTCCTTAGTTATTCGGCTTTAGCTACGGAATTTCATGTTTTTGCTATGGAATTTTTCTGTAGCTAAATCGAAATTTTCTTGTAGTGTGTTTCGATACAAACCAAAAGCATAAACGACACATTATAAGCCTTACAATAGTTATTTACAACTACAGGCCTATAAACAAAATAACTTGATAACTCATCCAACTTATGCTCTCGCGCCACTACCTGTAATACAAATAAAACTGAGCGGGTCAGGCTCGGGGGCCTGGTGAGCATATAGGGTTTTCAACCCATAATAAATAATTAATTTAATTTACCAACCAACAATAACCTGATTACCCATTCCTGTTATCCTCACTTTACGTCCCTAAAACAACAACTATCACAAGGGACCTAGTCTAAGGATTTTCATTGGGATGGACACTATTGCAAACGGATTTCCTCAACAATAAATATCCTAAATGCAACCATGAGGGGGATAGAGTACACAGGTGAACACATCTTTCACAACACATATAGGTTATGAACCTACCAACGTTCCACTGGACAGTCTAAAAAGAGTCTGTGGTCGTCATCCATACTCCGCTAGATGGCTAGATCAACAACAACATCGAGGCTTCTCATCATTTTATTTCATCACACATCAACTATCTACCCACGTTTTACCCAACATATTTGTGTGTGTATATATATATATATATATATACACACACACACACACATTTATATACAGCTTAAAAACCTGTATAAAATATTCATTCAGTACTCATTCCAAATAACATATAAACACATAGCACATATTTTATAGAGAAATAATTCATATCTATGTGTTAGAAGAAAGCAACTACACGCTCACTTGAAAAAACAATTATCCGACATCACTTTGTCTCTTAAAATAATAATCTTCGATGAAACCGGGATATCTTCCAAAAACCGGGCTTCTCACAGGTAGAGTTTCGGCTCGACAACTCTATTTCTCGGGATCTTCGGGGCTTCGGGACTTGCTTCGGGTGTCGGGATTGATACCGGGGCTTTGGGGGTATTTCTCGCAAGGTTGAAGAAAGTTTAAGGGTTAAGAGTGGAAATTTGGCAACCACCAACGGCTGGCCTCACATTCTATTTATAGGGTGAGGCTGGCCTTCGGTACCAGCGCGTTCCCTGAACGTTAGGCGTTCCTCCAAATGTTGCGCGTAGGAGCGGGGTTTGGTCTTTATCCGATGAGAGCTCCGAGTTAGCAGAGACGTGGCTAATCTGAGGCCTAGCAACGAACGTGGGGCATTCCCTTTCCGAATGTTGGGCGTTCCCTTTTGACATGCCTCGGTTTGCGTGCCTCGAACTTTAGAACTTCATAACTTTCGCATACGAGCTCCGTTTTTTATATCCACGCATACGTGAGATTATGCTCCACAACTCTCGTTTAGACTCCGTCGACTGATTTTGACTTTATTTTTATTATATTATTTTTAGTAGGTCGGGATAGGAAAACTTTGTTAGAATTCATAACTTCTTCATCCGGCGTCCGTTTTCGTCTGTCTTTTTACCGTTGAACTACTATCGACGAAATCTTCGATTATCGTTTAGATTGTTTCGGCTAGAAATCACTCGATCTCATAATCGAACTTTGGGTTGCATACTGCTAAGTCGAAACTTCGAAAAATCATAATTTAGTCACACGAAGTAAAGATTTAGACGTTCTTTTTATGCACACTCTCGGTTTAACGTATTCTACGACTTTCGTTTAGATCACTAAGGTTAAATATTGCTCTATCATAAATTCACTATTTACGTCACGCAGTGTCGTACCGATTTTATCGCAAAACTTCGACATATCATAACTTCTTCGTTATAACTCGGATTTCGGCATTCTATATATATTCAGAATCCTTGTCATGACCACTACCTCTTTATGTATACATATCGGGCTTATCTAATATTTCATTTTAACTCTTATTTTATCCTTAATTCATTTAAATCACAACAATTAAGCATAAAACACTTAATACTTAAATAATACATTTCTATTATTTCAAAATGAGTTACAAAGGTTAACCTAGACTATTATATTAATGCTAATGGCTAGCCTAGAAACACGGGTGTTACAATAAACTACCACATACCTAACGCGAAAACCCCCCTCTCCCTAAATCAGTTACAGATGTTCATTAATTTTGAGTAAACTACACGAATGGTCTTTATGGTTTGGGGTGATTTGAATGTTTGATTCCTAACTTATTTTTTTAACTCGAAAGGTCCTTGCCATTTGTTCTTGTTACACGTTTGGTCCTACTGTTTGATTTTGTCACGTTCTTGGTCTATGTCTTACCTAAAAATACTATTATTTAAATAGGGAAAAATTGTGGAGTATGTAAGATAGGGTGAGGGGTGGGGTTGGGGTGTGTGTTTATTTAAATAAATTAAAAAATCAAGGGAAAATAATCTTTTTAGGTAAGACAGGGACCAAAAACATAACAAAAACGAATAATAGAGACCTTCCGAGTTAACAAAAATAAGTTAGAGACCAAACATGCAAATTATCCTAAACCATAGGGACCATTCGTGTTATTTACTCGTTAAATTTAAATCTTTTTTCGTAACTTACACTTAATTTGGTTAGTGAGATCCTAGCTTGGGCAAAGAGAAGGAAAAAGAAGATTTTTAATTTTAAAGTGGATTTTTACGTGGCTTTCGACTCCCTCAATTGGGAGTATCTTGGAGATGTTATGTCTCAAATGGCGACTCCCTCAATTGGGAGTATCTTGGAGCTGTTATGTCTCAAATGGGTTTCCAAGAGAAATGGCTCGATCTGTTCTCAAAATCATAACAAAAGTGTTTGTTTGGGGAGATTTGGAAAAGCTGGAACCATTTGGTGTTTGACAAAAATACACATTGTATTAATTCTATTGTGTTTGATATTAAGACCTTTGCTTTTCTTTGGCTTAATAGCAGGTGGAAAAAGGAGGTAAACTCAGATTGAGAGAGCTGGTGTAAGTAGCCCACGACTACTATCTTGTAATTCCTTCCCTAGCTTCTTGCTAGGTGTGCTAGTTTATTCTTGTCTTGCTGCCCAAAAAAAATCAAAGGAATAATGCAATTAGGATATTAATAAACGATAAAAAGTAATAAATATTTTTTCATTTATAGATTTTAAGGGATAATCACAAAAATATTATTTTTCGAGATCGAAATGGTGTCTGTGTGCGTTTCCTAAGTGTGGATCTTTCAATCCCTAGATTAATACATACCGATGAGGATCATCTAATTGCAAATTGCAATTATGCATGCAAAGCCTGTAAAAATTTGCAAAGAAAACACGAATGTCCAACAAACACGAAAAAGAGAACTTAAAAGTAAAATAAAGATAAAAAGAAAATATTTTTGGGCTTTTTATAATTTGAAAAAACGATAAAACGAATAAAAAAGAGAAACAAACATTAAATGCTACTCAAAATATGATACAATATATTTATAGCTATCACACAAATCGACAAAACATATAATCTCTTCTCTTTATTCTAATAAATGAATAAGTTTATTTTCCTATTGACAAGTGTCACAATATTAGACATCTTCGTTAATATTATATATCACATATCATACCACATATCAACCTATTAATTCTCTATTTCAAATTTAAAATTTTAAATTTCACCTCTCTAATTACATTAAACTAATAATTGATTATTCATCTCAAAGAATTTTAAATTTCACACTCTAATTATATTAAATTAATAACATTAGAATAAAAAATAAAATAAAGTTTTTGGAAAATGGGTGTTGGAAGAAGTAAATAAAAGAGTTTAATGGTTGGGAGAAAGAAAAGAAAAGTTGAAGGACCTTTATTGCATACATTTCTTTCTTTTGTAACTGAAATTGTAACTAATATTACAGTTTAATTACATATTAATACACATTAATTTTGTGATTAATAGAAGTGTTTAAACGAGAGGATATAGAATATGTAGTATAAATACTACTATTATACAACCATTTGAGGACACGAATTAGAATACAAAAACTCTTTTCATCTCCATTTCACAATTTCACGTTCTCAGTTTTCTTGCTGAATTAAAGGTAAAATCTAGTCTTATTGAGGTTCGGATGATCTAGAAGAACTATTTCAAACTGTTGTATTCTGAGAAACAAACACCCGATAGCGGACGGATTTGTTTTAAGGATAATATGTTAAACACGTGTTTCAGTCTTTTCTATTTTATTATTTGTTTTCGTACATTTCCGTAATATAATTCCTACAAAAATTAATATATAAGGTGATATAATTTCATTTATTTATTCAAATCAACGATTATAAAATATAAAATTATTTATCAATTATTTTAAATAAATTATTAATTAAGATATATTTTTTATAGCGTGTCACAGCTTCCTCCTAGTTTTTTGTTTTGTAAAGACGAATATTTCTTTCCTATTTACTACGATGATGAACAATCAAATTATCACTATATTTATTTCTTTTTCAAAGTGCAAGATAACCCGAAGGGTTGTGGGTTGTTTTCTACCAATTGGAGCCCTCCATTCACCACCTCCACGTGGATGATCTACAGGGTTCATAACTACTCCTCTTACTTACCTAGCTAATGCTTAGATCCGACTCTATCCAAAATAATTAATAAATAATTTTATATTTTTATTATAAAAAACTAATTAATTTTATAACCGTTGATGGGTTATAAAAGTGTGTGGATAAATTAATCTTGTAAAGGGATAATGACTTAAAATGGTAATATATTTTTCGATTTGTACACATTTGGTCACTGAGTTTTTTTTCGTCCACATTTACCCCTTCAACTTATTAAATTGTACACATCCAATCCTTATGACCGGTTACTCCAGGTTAACCGGGAAAAATGACTTATTAGGGTAATATATTTTTCATTTTGTATACATTTAGTCCTTAATATGTTTTTTTCAAAATAAGTCTCTTTTTCTTTTTGTATCAATTCAGTACTTATGAATGATTTATTTAGGATTTTTCTCATTACATCTAACGTAAGACTATCATTGATGAGGTGTTTGGGGTTGTTGATGCTTATGTCCATCGTAACCTCAACTGCTTGGTTGCATAAGTCGTGTGGTTTGGCTTAGATTTTGTATTCTGAACGTCGTAACTTCTTCATACGATATCTGATTTTAACGATTTTCATATCTATGTGTTCGTTTTTTAAGTCTGCTATAACTTTCGTTAAGATTACTCCTGTTAAAATATAATATGTTTTTACCTATGATTTTATAAAAAAAACTCATAAATGCATTCATAAAAAACATATGCATATAAATATCGTAACTAAAAAAATATATTACTTTTTAACGGGAGTAATCTAAATGAAAGTTGTAGTAAACTAAAATACAAACGCATAGATATAAAGAACGTTAAAATCCAAGATTGTATGAAAAAGTTATAACATTCAAAATACATGACCTAAGCAACCAAGTAGTTGAGATCACGATGGACGTAAGCATCAAAAGTCTAAAACACCTCGTTAATGATTGTTCCACGTAAGATGTTGTGGGAAAAATTTAATGAAAACATTAATTAGTATTGAATGAGTATAAAAACAAAAATAAATTATTTTGCAACAAAAAAAATTAAGGACTAAATGTGTACAAAAATATTAAGGATTAAATGTGTACAAAAATATTAAGGACTAAATGTGTACAAAATGAAAAATATATTACCTTATTAAAACATTTTTACCGGCTAACCTGAAATAACAGATCATAAGGACTAAATGTGTACAGTTTAAGAAGTTGAAGGGGTAAATGTGGACAAAAATTAAACTCATTGACCAAATGTATACAAATCGAAGAATATATTATATTTTTAAGTTATTATCTCATCCTGTAAATGTTAGGGGGTGTTTGGTTTATTTTTTCAGAGATCAAAATGATTTTTAGAAAAAAATAGAAAAAAAAAATGTTTAGTAAAAATATTTTAAAAACAACTTTTGAAATTTTGATAGAAGGACAACTCACTTTTTTAAAAAATCAGAAAATCTAGAGCTTTTTATAAAAGTTCTTTTGCAAATAAGCCAAACATCCTCTTAATATCATTTTTTTTTTTATTATTTTTTTTATTTTTATTTATTTATTTATTTTTTTTTAAGGAAGAAAATCTTGTTTTGATCTCGAATGTCGGTCACCTTCCACTTCTATGTAATCCCCAAAATCTGCAATTTACGAAGAGCAGGGTTCTCAAATCTCCATTAAATCTCAATCCCACTATCTACAAACCCAGGTAACCTTTTCCTCTAAACGATCTTATTTCGTTCTTAACCATAAATTGCGAGTGTTCGTTCTTAAGTTTGAGCATAAAAGATGGTAATTGTCTAATTGAATTGAAGAATTGCTTACGAACACACATAAGCCCTTTCATCTCAACGACTCTTACTTCCAGTTATCATTTTGAATTGATCTTTCGTTAGGTCTTCACTTCTTACTTTTTTCTCTGTGAGTTTTTAATTTACGAGAGCTCTCGAGAATTTGGATAATTACATGATACGAACCTCTTTTATCTGCATGATCTCTTCTCATTTTGTTCCTGTGACTTCGTGAATCGTGATCCTCCATATTTATTGCTGATGATTGAAACGAAGAATTCCCTCAAGAAATCATTCGAATGAAGTTACTCAATCCGTTCATATTCAATTAACTTACTTCATTCTCCACATGCCTTTTCTATCTTCACTCTCAGAACTTATTGCCATTCGTGATTATTACCGATTCATGAGTTCTACCTCTTCAATACACCTTAAATTGCAGAGATTGACCACTGAATTGAGCATAGGAAACTTAAAATGGTATTGACCATGAGATTTCGATATGATTAGCCAATGAATTCAACATCAAATTAACTCTTATATATGCAGAACTAGGCTTTTGGCTTAAAAAAGGACTAAATTTCTAGGATTTATATATTGTATTGGTATCAGTGCATTTCCTAAATAAAACCCTTATCCTCGTCTTGTTAAAAAATTGTCCTTTTACAGAGCTTCTCAGTTTGAATAAAAATGGAGGAACAATTTATACTGAGAGTGCCACCTTCTGTTGCTGAACGTATAGATCGTCTTTTAAATGAGAGTGGCTCAGAGTCAATGGATTTATCATTCTCAGGTAAGATATGACATTTTATTTAATTTACTAAATACAAATAAAAATATAAAAGTTCAGAAAATAATTAATATTCGATGCAGAAGATGGAAGGAGTGGGGCATTTATTATAGGTGAAGACCATTTTCCTGCATCTCTTTTAGACCTTCCTTGCATTGTGGAGTCTTACAAGACTTATGATGACAATGTTTTGATTAAAACTGCAGATGTTGGCCAAGTATGTTATTTTATTTTTCTTATTTTCTTATACATGTTAAAATGTAAAAAAAACATGATTTCTATTTTTTTAATTTTCATTTTCGTGTGATGTGATGTGATGTGATGCAAATGTGTTGTCGTGACAGATGATTATGGTGAGAGATGACGGTGATCCTCCACCAGAGGTGGTGGAGCACCGCCATGGGCTTACACCGCCCATGAGAGATGCTCGAAGGCGGAGGTTCCGTAGGGAGCCGGATTTGAATGTAAGAAATAGCAATGTACTTTCTTTCAATTAATTATTATATTATAGCATTTAATAAATAAAAATTGAAAAATATAATCTTATAATGGATATTGATTTGAATTGTAGCCTGAGCTTGTTAGACGAGTAGAGAAGGATCTGCTAAACATCATGAATGGTGGAACGGCTGAAAATTTCGATATCCTTTTGTATTGCTAAATTTACTTTTATCTGTTAAATGCAAGAAATAGCAATGTAGTTTCATTTATTTGTTTTTCATAGGTTTTCTTAAAGTACAATGCCTTAATAAGAAAAAACATATGGAAATGGGCGAGCAAGAGGAAATTGGTAGGAAGAAAGCGGGACCCGTGCGTGTGGAAAAACCTGATGTTTCGCAGGCTGGAACAAATGCTGCTGAGCCTGAGAGAAGCGATAGTGATGAGTCTGATGATTCTATGTAGATACAATTACACGATTGGTCCCTCTGGTTTGTTTGCTAGAACTAGCTGGTTGAGGACAACTATGACAACCAACCACGCAAGAAATTGAAACCAGAGGGACTAATCAGTAGATGTTTTCGTAGTTGTCCTCAAAACTACAGGGACCGATCGTGTAATTTTATGATTGTACTTCTGTCAATAAAGTGACTTTTTTGTTAAACATTGTAATACATTTTAGGGGTGGTTCCTTTTTCTAATATATTAAGCCATATATGTTTAAGCTATGTTTGACGTACTAGCTGAAAAGCTAGCTGTTAGCCGAAAAACTAACTGTTAAATAAAAAACTAGTTGATAACTGAAAAGCTAACTGATAAAAAATGATGTTTGGTAAAACTAGTTGAAAATATATAAAATTACATAAAAGGATATTTAAGAGTATTTGTTTCTATAATTAATTCAAGGCTTTATTTGGAAAATTTTAAAAAAGTTCCTAAAATGCTAGTCTAAGTAGTTTTTCAAAATGTTAGCTTATAAGCTACTTTTTGGTTTTGCCAAACACAATAACATAAAAAAGCTCGAAAAATAAATTAGCTTATCAGCTAGCTGTGGCTCGCCAAACACAGCCTAAAACGATTGAATGGGTAATGACTTATACTCCCTCCGTCTCAAATTAATTGTCTATTTTTGACTTTTGAAGTTTTTTTTCTTCACCTTTAACCTTAAATATTTTTATTTGTGGTATATATTGCTTAATGAAACTTATATCAATGAAAAGACATTTAAAATACAATCAATTCATATATTTTATATCAAGTATTATCTATCAAAAAGAAAAATAATTAAGATCAAAGTTGAAAAATAAAAATTTAAAAAGTCAAATATGGATAATTAATTTGGGACGGTGGTAGTATATGAATAAAGTGTTAAGTATATAATTTATGTTCCTTTTCTAGACTCATTAAAGTATTAACTAAATCACTATTTTACCTTTTTCAAGAAACAAAATTTCATAATATTAATCAATTTTAACTTGAACTGGGCTATAGGAGAAAAGAAGAAATAAAAATAAGTAAAGGTTGGCATCTTAGTATATTAAGCCAGATTTTTGGCTTAACATGTTATGTTATTATGCTATTAGGTTCACTTTTTATGCATTATTTTAATATATTTTCTTAATTGCTTTTTTAACATCGTGTGCATATTTAACATAATTAACATTCCTATTTATATCTAATCATTACATATTGTTTTGAAATTTTTTACTTGTTTAAACTAAACTTGTGCATATTTATGCAAGCGGGTGATAGTAATTTTGATCATCGATAAAGTCACATCAAAAGCCTTTCATCCACGATTGAAGACTTGCAACATCCATAATCAAGCAAAAAAACAATACGATATAAATGAATTTTTGGATTTTTGTCAATGGGTCTTAATAAAGTGATAGAATTGAAGGGCAATATCTAATTCCTAACTTATGGATCTTTAAGTGGGAGACTGGATTTGGACAACTTGGACAAATATTCACCTTTTGGGCCTCATGAACAACGTTACAGAAGAAAAAATATGCCCAGCATAAAAAGCATTTAAATTCAGGCCAAAAAATCTTATTTTATTATTTATTCAATTTGCTGCCCATGCTTGAAAATTAATAACAGCCCATAAAATGAAATAAATCGTAGCCCAAGTCACAATTGAAGAGTCCATTAGTGTTGTTTGAGATGAAGTATGCAGGAAGGAAAAAAGAAAGGGGGGATCGTCTATAAAATGAAGACACGCACACTTTTCTTCTTCTTCTTCTTCAAGGCACGATAGAAACAGAGCAAAAGGGAGCGAACCACTTGATGATTTTCTAGTGTTGTGTTCTTAGCAACAAAGAGTCTTGAATTTTTGTATGTAAGTTTTAATTTATTGTTGATTCTTTTATAGTTTCATGTGGTTTAGCCATCTTAAATGGATGACTAAATCGTGTGTTTCAACATTCCGTTTATAATCATGTCAATGGTTTTGGATTTGTTAGTGAAGTTGTTGGGTATGTTTCTTGCGTTTATCCATCAAAGTAAATTTTGTTGTCTTAGTTCTTTTTTATTACCTCGTTAGGGTTTGGATGATTGACTTATTATGTTGATTGTTTGGTTAGGTAATCGAACGTTTAATTGACTAAAGTAGTAATAATGTTATTGAGATGTAATAGATGTTGTTTGACATTATGAAATCAATTGGTATAATCGTTGGAGCTTATGAAAATAACCACTTATGGTTAGTATATTTGTTTGAATACAATTCTCACATAATTATTAAGAGTTTGTTCCATAATTATGTAACTTGTTTTAATTGGATAATTTGTAACTTGGTTGAAAGCTTGTAATCAAATGTTACTACAAATTGGATTTATTATTCAAGAAGCTGGTTAATGAGCTTTATCAACCTAAAAAAAAGTTTAAGAAATTATTGCATAACACAACTTATGATCATGTTTTTTCAACAATTCTATGATTATAATACGAATGTCAATTAGGTTATTTTTAGTTTATTATTTTGTAAGTTGAATTAACATCTAGTTTCATAATTTGAACTTTCTATTTATGTAGTTAATCATATGATTTGATGTTAGATTCATGTTCTAAATTCTAATATAGCAATTATAGTTTTGTTTTAACTAAATGTTTGAATTTAATTTGATTTATATTGACGGTTTAGGTTAGTTCTTTCAAGTTGTTTAGTTTTGGAATCCATAATTGTTTCATAAAGTAAAAATCAGTAACAAACATGGAATTGGTTGTAAAAAGGGATTTAATGTCGGTGTAAACTAGAAATTACATGTTTTCACTCTCGAACTTGTGAGAAAAATTGTACATTGTTGAGAACATTGTTGACGTGAATTCACAATTAAATTAAAATTTTAATGACTAAAAACTTAAAATGATAATTAATATTTTAGATAAATGGATCGTGTTCTATCGAGCATAATTGAAATTGGATCAGACTCTCCAAGCTCCAAATATTGTGTAGCCTTAAGAAAGTAAACTATTATTTTTAATAGAGAGAACATTAGGAAATAAAAAATATATAGTCATTTATTTTTAATGATAAAAAATAAATGTGAAGTCAATAAAGTCAAGAAAAAAGACATGAAATATACCACTACAACTTGTTTGACAAACTCCACCATGGCGACATCGTTTTGGCCCAAAACTTGCTCTACAAGACTACAAGTTCTCAAACAAACATCTGTCCTTATGTGTGTGCGTGTGAGATGACGAGAATATAAGAAGTCAACTGTTGTCTTTTGACCCAGCATGAAGTAATTTATTGTCCTTTTTCTCTCTAACCAGTTTTTTTATTTTTTTTTATGTATTATTATTATTATTATTTTACAGCAAATACAACTATCCAGTGAAATACTCCTAAATTATTTCACATATGTATATTGTGGGACTTAAACCTTCGACCTTAAGAAGGGAAGACAACACTGGATACTGTTGAGCTAAAGTTCTTTGGTTTTTACCCGTTTATTATAAAATCTATAAATTACTTTTAATTAAATATTTGTCAATTTACTTGTTTGGATCAATCCGGATATAAAATTTGCAATTTTAAAAGTATAGACACAAATCATCCAATTCAAAAGTAACTTTTAAAGTATTCATTACTTGAATAAGTGTTTAAAGTATTATTTGAATAAAGCTTAACAGTAAGATAAACTCGTGTCTTGACAGAGTTTGAGTGGTTGGTCCATCACCATCTTAGTTTTGGGGTCTCATCTCCTTATAATAATAAAATTAGTTTTTTTTTTTTTTTTGTCATATGATACCATATCATGCCTTCTAATTAATGTTATGATATTTATTGATTTTTCATTTCAAATTTTAAAATTTAAAAATTTCACTTTAATTACATTAAATTAATAAACTTAAAATAAAAAATAAAATAAAATTAATGTAGATTATAATCGCGCATTTATTTGAATCAATAATTATAATTTTATATAATTAAAAAATATCTCTTAATTAATAATTTACTTAAAATAATTAATTAATAATTTGAGTTTTTACTATAAAAGTTTAATTAATTTTGTAACCGTAGTTCCCACGAGTTATAAATCAGTGTAAATATAAATAGGACTTCTCAGGTCCCATTTATTCCACATCATATTTGAGATCTCCTTTACTCTCTTTTCTGAATTCAACAAATAGGTTGTTCCAAATTCTTCCTTCTTTCGAGTTTACAAGTATTTGCTTTGTGTTTATCAGTTCTTCCATAACTTTGTGCTTTGTGTTTGTCGCAAGGCATGCTTTGACTCCTTTGGGGAGCATGCAGTTCATTGTAAAGAGCTCACGGGTTTCAAATACCGACACGATCTGGTTAGGGATGTTCTTTTCGATATATTTAGGCGTGTTGGGGTTTCTGCCAAGAAAGAGACACTTGTGAACTTTCTGTCTGACCCATTGGAAGGAAGATCAAGACTTAGAACAACTGATGTTCTAATATTTGGATGGGCTGGATGAAAACATGCATGCATGGATCTAACAGGGGTTTCCCCTCTTGTCGGCTTGGGGAGTAGAGTTTTTCACGGTGGGGCAAGCTTCTTTAAAAGCTGCATCAAGCAAAGTGGCAAAACATGAGAAAGCGTGTATGGAAAATTAACACACGTTTATACGCTTTGCATTTGATACTTTCGGTTTCCTTGCACCAGAAGCTGTGGAGCTACTAAATAGAGTCTAACAGGTCATGCATAGTAATGTTATGACTTTAGGATCTGTAGATGTTTTTAAAAGAATTAGTTTTGCCATCCAAAAAAGGGTTGTGGCACAGCTTGTTGCTCGTTTACCCGCTACGTCTATGTAAATCTTTCTTATATAATAGCAATCAAATTCACATCTTATTTATGATCTTCAACATCTCAGTCACAAACAGAAGAGCATAATCAAAGATTAAACATGTCATTAACAGATTCAATTAATATCAAAAGATCTAGGAGTTTCATAGTTCAAAATTGGTGAATTTCTTTTGCCTACCT